AAGAGGCAGATTCTATGAGTATCAGAAAACCTTATAGAAATTACATGAAACTTCTATAACATGCAAAAAACAAAACTTATCATATAGAGATTACAAAAGTATTTCTTGTTTCTGAGAATTGTTTCTCGCAGTATATTCATATCTAGAATAAAGATGTGGCAATGACACAAAGCGTTGATGAAATTAAAACTAAGACAATAAACTTTACTGGTACGCGTATAGTTGATTCGATTAATCCAGCATTGAAAAACTCCTATTTTCAGGTGCAAATAAATAACAAGACTAAATCTATACACAAGCAAACGGCTGGTTGCTTATTGACTAGGCATGCACCAAACCCAAACGGTTTGGGTTTGGTGAGTTTGGGTATTGAGTTTGGGTTTGGGTTTGGGTTTGGGTATTTGAGTTTGGGTTTGGGTTTGGGTTTGGGTATTGAGTTTGGGTTTGGGTTTGGGTTTGGGTATATGAGTTTGGGTTTGGGTTTGAGTTTGAGTTTGGGTTTGGGTTTAGTGTGGGTATTGTGTTTGGGTTTCAGTTTCAGTTTGCTATTTCAACTCACTGAACTACTGGACTTTAAATGTAATACCATTCGTGCCAAGTCTCTTCTCTATATTTTACTATTTATTTTGTATAGATATAAGTAAAAGCATATTTCTATGCTACACATTGTTAAACAGTGACATAAAGTCATTCTCAATCCCAAAAGGACAACTTGAAGAATGGATATTTTTGATCGATTTGTCCGTGGTATGATTGATAGAAAATTAAAATCACATTTCTCAGTTGGAGAAGCGATTGTTTGATGTTCTATCATATTGAAATATTGTTTTTTAGAGAGAGGAACCCAAAACCGAACCTCATTTTCCTCAAAACTACATTGATGGATCAAGAGTCAACAGAAATTATCGTTTTCGAAAGATAGTTTCCGTAGGATAGCTTACCTTTTAATGGTTCACTGACTACGAAGTAGTACCACATACCCAGGAAACAGAAGATGCCGAAGAAGCGCAGGGAGATGCAGGAGATGTTGTATCTCCTTTAGATACCGAGTCTCTTTAGAGATGCCGAATCTCGTGGCGTGAAGTGCTTGAAGATATGGCATCTCTCCAGACGATACCGCATCTGCGGATGAAAACGTTTTATTTTATTTTTAGCCCGAGATCCCAGCGGAAGACCCATCTCTTGCAGAAGATGCCACATCTCATGAGTATGGGTGAAGGTGAAAACACGAATACATACGGAAACACCTACAGTCGCATCTGGTCAGTGTGGGTGTGGGAGAAAACATTAACACACATGCGAACACCTGTAATGTAATCGTCTATTAGTAGATAGTTTGACATCTCCCATGTGTTCCTGCACTCCTTCAGCATCCACGATTTCCTGGATATGTGACGCTCCTCTGAATACGTGATCGACATACAAAAAGCCATTGTGGCTACTATGTGATGAGTAAACTTGTGGGGCGAGCTTAAGTGATTAAGTGGAAGGAACTCTGAGTCAGGCCTGCTTTCTCTCCAGAGTTATAGCTAGTAATAGTTGTGCGAAAAACGTTAGGCCTTCGAAACTGTCTTTAGAAAGCATCCTATATCGCAAAGCAGTTGAAAGGCAGGGTATTCTTCTTCGTCTTTTTCTTCTAGGGTAATTGAGACGACAGTTTTAATCATAGCTATATCGCCCTATAAATATTCTAGTGGGGCAATGCGCCAATAGAAATAGAACTTCGTGTTGTGACCTAAATCTTCTTCAGATGTGGTCCTAAGGATTTTTCCTATTTATGATTGTAGCTATGTACTTGGATTTTTCTTCTCTTCTCTTGTTGTTAGTCGTGCATAATAGATTTTTCCTTTTCGCTCAGATTCGTATATGTGATGGTATTTTCCCTTTCACTTATAATTATATGCAACGAATATTTCTCTCCACTTTTGATCGTCTATGTTTAGCTTTGTTTTATGAATCTCTCCTTCTTCTTCTTCATCATCTATGGAATTTTTCTATAGTATTGCTTTGTATATTCGTAATATTTTTTCGCAACAAAGAGAGATTAAAAACAGATATAGTTAAGAGATGAATTACATATGGAATTAAAATCTTACACTTAGAATGGATAGCTTCACCGAAAGATAGTCAGAAAATGGATGTTTAAATTTGCAGTCTGTGTGGCTTCCAGTACAATTCTCTATCTCTAAAGGATGAGTCTTCACATGTTAATCTATTATACGGCGCTCTAATTCTTTGATCAAAATCCACCAATGAGTCTATCGCAGGAGTCTGATTCAGTAACTTTGAGGCCTTTTATATATATTGTTCAATCATTCAAAGTTTTTCTGTAGCCAGCTATGAATCCATCAATTTTCTGAATGCTGAGAATTCAGCCAATGAAGGTGTAAAGCTAATGTCGGAAAGCAGCAGTGTCATATATCCAGGAAATCGAAGAAGCTGGAGAACCGCAGGGAGATGCGGGAGATATATCTCCTGGCATCTGCCAATGAAATCTTTTTTTCTATTTTTAGACTTTAACCCATGCGGGAAATTCCGATGCAGGA